CTGGTCGTAACCCGAAATGTTCGTTAGTAGAGGCGTTCGTATCCCGAGGTACCACTGTATCCCCTCCTTTGGGACACTTGAGCTGACTTAATATAGGAACCAAATTCACACATAGGGGTAGCTTATTTGATTTCCAAGGCAGATTGTATCACAGAACCACCATTTCAAAGCAAACTGATCATGTGAATTAAAGGCAGCTCTGCTGAACACCTTCAGAAGGGGACAATCTAATCCAGAATTCTTGTCTTTCCATATCTTTCAAACAAGGACTCTCATACAGTGTCTAAGAAGCTAGAGATAACCAGAGTTCATTTAAGGACAAACAGAAGGCAGAAGAAACCCAGATTGTCCATTTATTTAAGACTCTTATATGGCCATTCATCTTATATGCCATAACTCTGGATGGCTCACAGCAGAAGTGATAAGAACACTAAAAAAAAACCTAATAAAAACATTCAAAAAAGAAAAGAAAAGAAAAGAAAAACAAAAAACCAACTCCTAAGCCCTAAATTAACATTCCCCAATACATAAAAAATCACAGCCACTGGGCTCCAGCCTCACCCTATTCCAATGCCTATGGATTGGACTGGGAGCCAGTACAATTCGAGCAGCAGCAAACTGAGGGGCACCCAGCATTGCATGAACTGCTGCATTCTGGACCAGTTGTAATTTCTGGATGGTCTTCAAGAGCAACCCCAAGTAGAGTGCACTGCAGTAATTCAACCAGGAAGTGACCAAGGCATGAGTGACTATGAACAAGGCCTCCCGATTCAGGAATGGGCACAACTGGTGCACAAGATGGATCTCTGCAAAGCTGCCATCTGCTCCCTGAACAGGAGGAGGGTCCAAGAGGACCCTAAATTGCATGCTAGCTCTGTTTAGGATTGTGCTATCCCACTGAGAGTCAAAGATGACCTCTCTCAGGATCCAGGGAGGCCAAAAACTCCAAGCCACTCCATTGTGCTAAGGTTGAGTTGGAGCCGCTTCCTCCCCATCCAGACCCTCACATCCTCCAGACAGTGGGTCAGCACCTGAATGCCACTGCCTGCCTGGCCAGGGAGGAGATAACTGTGTATCACCAAGATACTGATGATACTGCATCCCATCCTGCTGAATGATCTCACCCAGCACTTTCAGGTAGATGTTAAAGAAGAGCGGTGAGAGACCCCAATACTGAGGCACCCTACATGAGAAGGGCCTAGGGTTGGACCTCTCCTCTGTCCCACACCACCACCAACTGGAACTAGACACAAAAGGAGGAGAAAAATTGCTGCAAAACAGTGTCCCCTGCTCCCAGTCCCTGGAGCTGGTCCAGAAGGATACCATGGTCCATGGAATCAAAAACTGCCAAGAGATCCAGGAGGG